AAATAAGTCTTCGGAAGGGGTTGACGACTAACTTCTGAATCTGGTCAACTGCCTGTTAACCACGCAGGCAGTCAGAGTTTAAATGACTGGGCGGCGAGCGAGATAACCCAGGCCGGGCACTTACAGTCATTTCTGCTAGGGAGGAACGGGGTAGATACCCGGAACTATGGAATCTTTTCCTGTTGTTTATGCCGTCTTCGTGGATTTGCATCTAACTGGAAGCCAGCCTGTTGGTCGGTGACTTTGAGATGACCTGAAAACAGGTAAGGGTTTAAAACCACAATGCTTAAATGCATCAAAATGCTTTTTATTCCACTACTACACTCAAATAAGTCGAAATAGTAAGTGCTTCACTCTGTGCTACTGATCTCATTAACAAATTTGACATAGTTTTCTGAAATTACACAGATGTTATTATGAGTGTTTTAAATATGTAACTGAGTACATTCCTGTGTATTTTTAGCCATAATGCTCCTCGAACAGATACCTCAAACATAATTTGTATTTTTTATAAATCTCAGAGTGTTTAAAATAAATAATTACAAGCTTTTACATAGAAGTCTATTCTGAACCCTTCACTCAATCCACAATACTTATGAAACTATCCAGTCAGATTTCGTCCAGGATTCTTATAAACATCCGAAATGTGAAAAAAATCGGAAGCACATTCGGGGTATGTGAGACAACTTCGTTAATATTGGAGTGGTACATTGTAATTCTATTTCAGTCTGTTTATTAGAAATGTCACGCATTGAAACAGTATCATTTACTGGATAACCTTCTGGACATAATTTATTGTCCATATTCATCATCATCATCATCAATGTCAACATAGGACCAGGCATTACTGAGTAACGGTCCGAGTTGCCACATCTCATATCAATACGTCAAGTAGAAAGGTAGTGACGTGAAAGATGAAGATAAGGAAATTCAGTCAAAAGAAATATAAAGTACAAGAAGAAAGAAAGGAAGAGTGACAAAATGATGAGAATCGGTATAGTGTTAAGATGAGGATAATGTGTGTACACATCTGAGCCACTGACATCGGTTCTTAGCCATATCATCTAGAGTCCCCAACCACTGGTTTCTCTTGTCCTGCGAACCTCAACCACCTAGTCTGCATCGCCCCACACGGTTCAAACCAACAGTCAAATACTTCATACATTGATTGGTGCCATGTTTTAGTCTGGCCATCTCGGGCCTTTTTCCAGCCTCGACCTATTTCCACCAACATTGTGTGACGAGGTAATCGGTGACTAGGCATACGTAACACGTGCCCAACCATCTCAATCGATGAAGGTTCATAACCTTGTCAACTGATTCACCTATACTCCCTAAAACTCTACACCTGACTTCTGAATTACTCATGTGGTGACACCACGGAATAAGGCCTATACTACGAAGGCAACGGTGGTCAAACACCTGAAGCCAGCCTTCTCATGTATTCCACCTTCAATGGCCATGTTTTACAGCCATACAGTAGGACAGAGCTGACTGCTGTGCAGTCCACGCGACCCTTAATAGACAAACGGATATAACGGCGACGCCATAGGTGGTGTGAGTTGACGAAAGCCAATCGAGCCTTTTGTATCTGTGTAGAGATTTCATCGGCAACTGAGCTACCAGGGTTGATCCTACTTCCCAGATAAGTGAAGTGGTCGATACACTCAATTACTTCACTCTCTATTGTCAATATTTATATCAGGTGAAACAATTTCAACTGACAAACCCAGATGTTATTTCTTGTTGATAAGTGGAAATAAAAATTTCGCATTCTTCTCTGGTTTACATCACCATTTAAGTACCAGAAAAGTAGAAATATGAGACAGTAGATTCAATCTACTTAAAAACTGATCTTACAAACAACAACAGAAGTATTTAACAGGATCTTGGTGAGAGTATCAATTGATTCACTTATAGCAACTGACAATAGGAAATTTCAAGTTTTATTTATGACTGACTTATAAAATGGTTATTGTGTAGCAGTTCATCGAAAAGGTGCTAATTGCGCTTCACCATACATTTAACTACAAAAGTGATATCGATGTTCAAAAGTGAAGAATAAATAAAATCAATACTGATCAACGAATGATAATATTATTGCCGTATACATTTTACGCCAATATAAATTCAATTCTCTCAAATGGTACAAATCATATTTCTTTATCTAATTATGCTTTAGTATCAAAGAATTGATAATAATCCTTTCAAGGAATGAGTTAATTAAGAAAAATTTCTGTTCGTTTCTAAACAGTAGCAGATATACTCATTGTTTTCACAGACAAATATGTAGTTCCAAAAAAGTAAATATTGGTATGTATTTACACGAAGTAAAATAGCAGATCAGAGAAGTTAATTGACATAATTCAAAATGATTGTTGTTTGTTACATATTCTCGAAAGTAATGCTGTAAAATCTGGCAGCAGAATCAGAAATCTATGGTTTGCAGAGTTAAATAAGTCAGGTGTGAAGAGAGATGCATACTGGTGATCGGATTCAAACCTTACTATATTGGCAGGTCATAGATATTGGAAAGTAAGAACCGTGAGATTCATCTAATGGTCATATGGTGATTGCCAGTCACAAGATTAGAAGGTCCTAGAAGCAATCATACGTGTAACATCAGTCCTTCACGTCTTTCAGTGGTTTCATAGCTCAACACAAACAATGTTAACGTTATACGTCTCAAATAGTTGATAGTGATCGACTGAAAACACTGGAAGTAAATATCGTATGCTTGCACTCATTGCCTAAACACATTAAATGTATAGGGATTTGATGCTTCCTTGGCAATCTAAACCCACAACAATCACTGCTTAACTCATGAAAGGTGGGTACTCTTAATTAAATTTGAGCTGAAACTGACTTCTTGTAGGCCTGGATTAGACGCAGTGATTGATCAGTCAAAAGTAATCAATGATGGATTGCTTACTGACAAGTGCTGACTGAATTTCATTGATCAAATGTGAGATTTAATCACTGGCGAAGAGACGTTACTATGCCGCAAGTTTTTATAGTTTCTGTTGATGCTAAATTGGCAGGAATTTCTATATCTAGGTTTTGGAACTGTAGGCATTCATCACTTAGACATTTCACACCGCTACCTTTACCTATGTATTAGTAGCGGAATTTACCAGGTACTCCAACTTCGTAAAGTTCAATTTCTCAATACTATTTGTCTTTGAAGAATGGTATTGACAAAGTACGATTTATTTCTACGCTACTATGATGCTGATGTAGTCAACCTCTAATTCAATTAAGATTTTACTCTTTAACACTGAACCAAACTGACTAATGCATCAAAGTTTTCACACGTAGTATCTAGTCTATTGGACAATATTAAGTACGAAACTTGATAGGAACTTGGTAGAATGGGCAGTGAGGAGAATATCGCATACTTCATAATCTATGAATTCGCCTCCTTTTTCGACTGAGAATTACGTAATTATTATTGTTAACAAGAATATCTTTTTCAAACTTTCTATTGTACTAAGTAATAAACCACGTGTACTGTGAGAATTAGAGTGGGAATACAATACAATGAGAAATGTCTTCACCTCTTGGTACTTGCTTTATTACTCCATACTACAATTAATTTCAGTACTGACAGCTTAGTTAGAAAATTTTTGTTCAGTGCTTGTAATGACAGTCAATATGATACTTTTACACGGCCGTGTTCTTCATCCGGTCGATATGTAAAATGTTCCTACTGTAACCTTAGAAACTTCGGCTTTATACTCTCATTAAACTAAATAAACAGCTAATTGTAGTTGTATCCACATGAAGCTGATTAGCTACCAAAAGTTTGAGAGCATAGAAAACTGCCTGTTTCACAGGTAATAGTCATTATTAAATGTTGTTATTCATGTAAATTTTATTTATCTATAATAATAAAACTGTGTTACACAAATTAGAAATGAGAAACAAAATTGTAGAATTGAGGATTACTGTTGAAATTTTAGAATTATGTAACATTGTTTATCATTATATTCATAACCCACTGCCACTATAGACAGTAAGGTGACTGTACAAGTTGAAGATAGAACAGAAAACATGAAAATCCAAATTAAACAACCAATACGTAAAAAAAGAATACTTAGAAAATATTTGTGACGATTTGCATGCTTGCATAACTATAGCAGAGTGAAAACAGATGGTAAAAAGCAGAAGCTGTGAGAAAATTTTACACGTATAATAGATGACAATAAACATGTGGACGGTCAGTACAAAAAAACACATACTTGCGTCTGTGTGAGCTCAGAGTAAAGAGAGAATTATATTCATCCGGAATCCAACTTATCTGAAGTACAACGATGAAGAAATTAAAAGGAATGCATCTTTTGTTTCTTCAGTTTACAAAATTAATGGGCAAATTCATTTTCATACTTCAGAAAAATAATCAATCTCATTATGCTTTAATTTATTCTTTATTCAGTACTGTTTAGTTCCAAATGACTACGTTGAAAGTACTTATCACTACACTATGAGTGTTGTCATAGCTCACCACTGATAAACATGCATCAAAAACAAGTAAACCACAATCAGCAGGAAAAGCAGTAAATGATTTGAGCAGAAAACAGACTAATGTTTCTTTTGAAGAATTTTGAAACTAATTTCAACATTTTTGAAACCAACAGAGACTGAACAAATGGAATGCATATAAGTTAGGACTACTTTGATAGGCAATACCCTTTAGTCATTCTTGAGAAAAATGTGCACAGCTAATGTGTTTACTTACATAAACCTGTCCATAAACATACCTTATTCATAGCAGAAGGGTAGATTAAACGACAGGGTTAAGCATTCAAGGGGTTTAATTTACATATCACAGGGGTTAATAAGAAGAAGGAAGGAAATAAAACAGAAGAAACGGGACTGATTATCCGACAATAAAAAGAAACAAAGCGAGAATGATAACGAATAGTGAAGTTTACCGAAAAATTAAATGAATGGTCTTCACAGAATTGGAGAAACTAATGCGTGACAAATAAGTAAAATACTTAAACAAACTTTGTCAAATGCCAGTTATGCCATAAATAATTATACATGATTTGATTTTCTGCTTTTATACTTAAACGACCCTGACCAAACACATCAACAATGTTTGGTAGGTCTAATAGCATTAATGATGTTGAACAGAATTTGCCTTGGTTTTTATTTTCATATACTGTTGTAAGTAAATTCACATTGACATCTAGAACATTTCGGTTATTCATTTCCGTGGATTCAATGGTGATCAATGGTTTTAATCGCTCTGGTGTAATGCATGTCAAAGGTATAGCTAAATAATGCATAGCTAATAAGGACAAATTTGGATAATTGGTTGATTTCATTTTCCACCATAAATAAGGATCTTCTTCTAAACCGATGGGATCTTCACGAATATATCTATCGACTTCAGATAATGACGAACGTGAAAAATAATTTAGACCAAATACAGTTTCTAATCCATGTTTATTTGAAGAAGGATTCGAATCTGATGTCACATTTACATTGTCAGATACTGATTGTAGATGATGTAACTGATTATCTGAACTTGATGTGGAACTATTACCGCTATTTATACTAGAGTGATTAAACAGGAGATCAACCTAAAATTTATACAGAAAAATTAAACATTGTTGACAATCCTCTTTGGCAAAATAGTTTTGCATTTATTTTATCGTGGCACAGTTTCACAACTTTTTTGAACTTCGGACGATTAAAATTTCAGGTTACAAAAATAAGACAGTTGAACTCTATCATTTGCTACCTCTACCATCAATGTGAATACAACTACTAATACACACGCAAATAATAACGTCGGCATCTATACTCACACTAATACAACTATACAACTAGTAATAAGTCGCTAGGTCTCTGAGCACTGCGGCATATTAGAGTAAAAATGTCTCACCGACTATAAATTAACCTGTTACTGAATACTAACCACTGCAGATACGCCCTGCTGGTGAGTGCCAACAAGTGCAAAACCTAGATTCAGGGCTTCCGGACGACTACCTTCAACCAACTACACAATATTCGTTTACTGCTCACAAGTAGTTACAGAACTACTATGCAATAAACTATGCCAGTTTCATAGATTCGTAACTTATAAATTTAGGATTAACTGAAATTAAATTATGTTCTTCCAAGTGAATCAGACAAAGTATCATCATACTTTCGTTGAATTTGTTTTTCTGAATCATATTTAATCACTTAGTATGCTTGTGGTACATAGGTGGTAACCAATTAGTTTTTTGGTAGATACATGAGTACACTTCAACAGAAAATACGTACTCTTTCATATGTAGGCATGCATATAGCGTTAACGTGAATTTCACTATAGTTGAGAGAGATATTACACTTTATCTATTACAAATATTCAAAATAGTAAAGCACCCTCTTGTGCTGTATTGATTCTTTTCCAGTATTATTTAGTTCCGAGTTCTAGCTGAAATCAGAAAAAAATTTCCATGACTTAATCGTTTATACCTTGGAAGACTTGTGCTGAATAATCATTTTTCCAAAAATGACTAAATTTTTTACCAGATCGAGCAGCGAAATCATCTAATGTAAAAATGTATGCTTTGATAAGCTCTATGAATCGATCGCTAAGAGTTGTAATGCGCTGAATAAAATCTTAGACTTATTTAAGAATTTCCCGATGTTGAAAAAACATTGCCTATCAAGCCAAACTTGATCTTTCAAGGCAACTGAAACCTTCACTTTCAGATAGCTTATTTCAACTTAAATTAATGGTGCTGTGTGGTATATATTCGTAAACACAATAGGACCTAGTAAAAAACTAACTGCGAAAGACTAACGCTCCTGGTTTTTCTTGTCTCATTTTCATATCTACGTACTTCGAGCAGTTTGAAAATATAACATTTGCTGACTTTTACTGCTTTTGAGGCTGGGATCAACTTTTTATCAAAGATATCTACACTACACATTTACTAAATACCTAAAATTCATTAAAGTTACACAGTAGATGCATTCAGTATTCACTCATTTACATGCTACTAGGTACAAAACACGAGGGAAATAACAATGACATTGATAACTCAAAAAACTCACTTTTGTTTTCAGTAACTTGATGATTGATGGTTGTTTATCTTGTACTTGACTTTTAAAACGTGGGTCCAGTAGACTAGCTATCCATAAGGTTTCATAGGTCAAACCATTATTGGGGAAGGAATTTATTAAGTAAGAGGCTATGGTTGATTTGAATTCTTCCACAGTAGTTGAATCCGATGATTCACAGGCAAGACGTATTTCGCATAAATTCGTTAAAATTGGCTCAATCATTGAACCAGTTAGGATTAAGTCTTTCTTATGGATAAACTCTAAAGTTTGACTGATGGTCTGTTAAATATTAAAAAAATATAATATTTTAGTAATATGATTAGTACTTGAAACCAAAAGATTTTTATGGAGAATTTAGACAAAAATATTAATATTTTTGAGATGAATGGGGATTTTAATTTAGAGGTAGTATTCATCATGGACTGATGTCAGTTGGAGAAACATCGAAAACTTGGGAGCACTGGACAGCTGTTTCTTCCTAGTCTGGAACTTCTCATTAGTACGCACCCATGACTCGGCTTGGGATCGGACTCATAACCTCCAGTTTCACGGTGAACGCGTTAACCATGCAGTCTCTGGGTTCACAGTTTCCATCTCCTATCAATTTACAATACAGCTATACTGTCACCCAAAATCTTAGTATCACGTCTCGAAAATGCCATCAGTGGTTAGTAAAATGTACCCAGAAAATCGAATTCATCTTTATGTCTCACTCGATAACAAACAGGTAACATTTCATTGAAGTATAGGGCAAAAAAGCATGATTAATAAAACTACTTTATAAACAGTATTTATTATTTTAATTGGTACTAGGTAGACACATGTTTATTTATTCATGTTTCTTCATATTTCACAAACCAGTTGGTATAGTTGATAGATTGGAGCATAAGAGCGGATTCATCAATGCTTTGTTCTTTATCACTCATTCTGAGCAGCTGTTGAGTTTGATAGCTCAAAACCTGCGTTTTTAACGGGAGTTTTTAATCAGTTTGTTTACTTCTGTCAACTTATTTCTTTATAAATTGATTTTCTGAAGTCAGTGTCATTCCAGCGGGCAATGAGAACTACAATACAGAAGGTGCTCAACAGTTTCATGTAACCTACTGTACTCAACGGTGTTAACTGCAAAATTACCTCGTTAGCTGTATACACTATGACTAGATGTTCTAATTTAGTGTTCCTAAGTATTTAAAATGTTCTTAGTTTATCGTCTTCTAGTTATTTGGATTTAGATTTTAGAGAATCCTTTTGAATAATTATTTGTGTTAATATAAAATGTATCGAAATCATGCCTTCAGTCTTCTCTATAAGATAGAACTTTGGTCGTGTGTTAGTTTCCAAACAGCCATTCTTTTGAGAAAAGGTATATATTTCTCTCAGTCATAAACAAATCTTTCTAAGATATGTATGAAATATCAACCCTTCATACTACAGAAAGAATGTATAACCAACCTCAAAAGTGAAAAAGCATTTAAATCACTGTCCATTTTCCCCCTATTTATCCGCAAGTTTAACATAAAATCTGTCCATACTAGTCCGTGTTTTTGAAATGGCAAACTAAAACCAGTGGTTTAGTTGAGTCAACCTTTATTTCTGCCGAATAAAAGCTTCAGAAATTTGCTGGAGTACATCATTATGACTATTTATTTGATTATTTATTTACGCGTGTATTGCTTTACCACTTTTAGAATTTATGCCACCTAATAATCAGCTGCAGTTACCCTTCCCAGTAGGTTAAATTGGAAGCATATCAATCCATTATGATATTAAAACATAAAAGTTATGGTCAAAATAATGACAAACTTACTTCGAAGACCGAAATTATCCCTTTTACCGTTTCCAAATCGGATTTATTTGAAGCAATAGCATCATCTCCAGCAAAGGCATCAGCATTATTATGATCAACTGAGGACTGATACAAGTACCATTTTAACAAATTATAAACAGCTTTACAGCAAAGCGATTTCCTCATTTCTTCTACGCTTAAATTCACAATAGAGTTTTCCTTGATATGCTTCTTCATTTTAAAATTATACTCTTTCAGTAAGTTGACAACTAGATCTCGAATCATATCTGTATTCAGTCCAACCTTGAATAGACAATTAAATCCGAAATATACACGGTAGATTACTGTATTAATAAATAAATAAAACTGTGATAAGATCATTCATAATAAATATTTATTGATTCACTCTTTTCAATGATAACATCAATACAGGTTATTAACAATCAAGAATTTTAAACATTTTAATAACATGTTTATATGAATGTATAACTTGATGGGTCAGAGGACTATTATGAGAAGGAAAAGTTATAAATCATTGATTTTTATCTGCTTAACCCTCATATTTGGTTCTGTTTCACAGTATGGTATGTCAGCATGATCATTTCATAGTACTGTGTACACTGACTTTGAATATAGCACAATCTAGCAAACATGTGTTCAGTGGGGTGAAAATTCATACTGACATGAAGGTTTGCTCAGATAATCTGCACATGTATAGTACAAATTAAAGTAACATTATTCATAATAACATATTTAGATAAGTTGTTGCCTTTAGCATACTAATTTAAGAATTTGTTGCTGCCGAATCAAGTGAATTATCTGATATGATGGTTCCTGAGAATTAATTGTTATCAGGAATGTGGTGAACATCTAATATTAAATATTCTGTCGGTCGAAACTCTGTTTATCACATTAATGTCTAACTGAATAGCATGTCAAAATTGATTCTGTAAGAAATATTTTACTCTAATTTGTGCTTGTAGTTTGTTAGAATTTTCAAAGAAGCCATTACTACCTTGTTTACTCATTGAATTCTTGAGTATCATACACTATAAGAAGTCATCCATGCTAACTTGGTTCACCTAATGTCTCATTTTTATTCATAGATCTAGAATTATCTATCTGATAATATATAAATTATCATTCATCTGTGTAACGTAGTTCTTGTCCCTTACGTGTCTTTTCAACTCACTTTCTTGTTATTAAAGTCAATTTCAAACTCTTTCAACCCTTTCAGCAAACTTAAAGTATACTGCATATTTCTTGTTTTCAAATAACCCTGATTCAATTTATAGTTACGAACATCGAATGAGTATTCATAAAATAAATTATTATTATTCCATGTAAAAAAGCTGTTTGTTCTAGTTATTTTCAAAATTCTTAAGAGAAGGAAAGGCAGGAAATTACTTAAGTCATTTTCGCTTTCCTTATTCATCTGCGTTATTCCTACTTTTGAACAACCACTATTTGAGAACTGAATGCAGAATGATGTGCCTTACACAGACCACTGTTACTGAAAGAGATCTTAAGAATAATGAACACCATGGAATCTGCCTGAAAGTGAACTTTTTAAAGTCTACTTATTCAGAGGACCAAGATAAATCTTGTAATATTCCGTAAAGAAAAGAGTGAAATGGGATAATCCAGATGGGATTTTCTCAACCAGTCGTTTTACAGTATGTAACCAAGCCTTGCGGGTTTGCCGTAGAATAACCAGCAGCCAAAACAGACTGGTATGCAACACTTATTTATTTGTATCAGTCTTCATAAGATTCATTAAAAATAACTTGTAAAAGGATTCTTGTATTAACTAGTTATCACTATCCTACAAATAATGTACTAATTATTACCAGTTATTTAATTTTATCATTTTAACAATGTACTTTATCCAGACTTCAGCTAGAACAATAGTGCTATAAATACGATTCAAGTTGATCATCATAGAAAACATTCTTTTTCATGTGTACTCTACCTGCATATATAAAGTCTCATAAGTACACAGCTATTTTGAACTTCACTATAATAAATACTTTTTAAAAATGTTAGTCGTGAGAAAATATCTAAGTAACTACTATTCATGCATGAAACTTGAAGTTCTGAGTTCTCTCATTGTTGTTGTTGTTATTATCATGATTATCATGGCTCTATCATAATCATATGTAATTAACACGGTCTTTCAATGAAAATAGTCTCAGCTACTACATTAATTTTTTTCAATGTTTAAAAGGATATCATCAGCTGCAATATAAACAGTCATGATAGTTTTGCCTAGTAATCATAATTTTCCCCCGTAGAAACATGCAATACTCATCACGGAGATAAAAAGAAGAAAAATGTGACCATTACCTTATTTTCTTCTCATTGCTCAATTCAATTACTTGAAACTATTATACTGATGATAATAAGGATGGGATTTCTTTGAACTAATTTATTTAAAAGATTTTTTTGGTTTTAGACTACATCCAGTTGTTGTAAACAACATCTAAATCACTAGGTTCAATATTATTCAGATATTTACAGCTATAAACTATAAGTGGGATATTATTCACCGATTTACACTAAAATATTACTCAATAGACAGCAATAGCTAAAAGTTTAAGTAGCACCATGGGGTCTAATTAAGACTAAGAAATTCTTCATCAGTAGCAATAAGTGTGATTCACTAAATAAATCGAAAGTGAATATGTAAAACAGTCACCTTGGCATCAGGTAGTCAAACCGGTATTCGAGAATACTGATGAAGTAGGCAACTTCTTGTTTAGTATCTGAACTGTCAACAGCTGATAGTAGATTTTTTATGACGAAGACCAAGAATTTCCTTTAGTTTATCAGTGACCCCTTCTAATACACATAGGCGCTGTAGTTTCAAGGAAATCTCGAAAGTTCACATTATAAGTATTTCAACCAATGAATATAGGCAACTCATAACTATCAGTCGACAAAAAATGATGTAGGATTTAATTCACCACTAAATAAGTAAACTAAGTTGAGAACTGTATGTTGCTGCTTCTATTATCTCGTCTTTGGGTGAACCGAACTGATCGATCTCTGTTGGTGTATGGGCTCCTGTGCGGATGCTTCGATATTACCTGTTTCAATTTTATGTTAATTATGGATATTGGCTAATGGATAACGCTCTGGTGTTTGAAGGATTCGGTCCCAAGTTCGAATCTTAACGGGGAACAACATAGCTCACTGGGAGGCAGATACATCCAGCTAACGAGTCCAAGATAGGACGGAGTGCATGTCCTGGATACCACTGCTAGCCACTATCCATCATTAATAAGGTGAGAGAATCATTTACAGAAAACTAACCTACAGCAATTTAATATTTTGCATAACCAACACTAACTCAGCAAAAACCTCTTTTTGCTCTACTTTCAGAACTTCTAAGCCTCATTAGTGACCCTGAAAAACTTTTTATAACATTCAAATCCATTTCGTTTTGTCATATATTTTTTATGTTAAACTTCTAAAATAACCTGTTAAAAATAACATCAAAGCGAAAAATCATTCAGGTAAACTGAACACTTACTAATAAAGCCTTGGATAACTCAGATACAAGGCATGGTAGTATGAGTACATTGGATTCGGTTTCATTGATTAATTTTTCAGAGATTCTGGATGATTAGTGACAACTGAACACGGCCACTCCATAATTTTATATAATGACTGAATTCGTGATTGTGCCATATTAACTTTCTTATTGATGGTATCAGGAATAAGTGATAATACCGTTTTAGTTGACATTGTTGGAGAAGATTCTTCTACATTTTCAGCTTCCATTTCATTTGTTGGTAGGTTGATTTTAGACAACAGACATTCTTTACATTTCTGTAGTGCTTCATACAAGCTTTCACCATCTGGATTCTGAAATAATAATGTTTAAAGATTATACATTATTGTGTATATATTGAATAATATGTCAAATTATACAAGTGTAATTTACATACCTTGGATTCATCTCTGTCAACTAACTTAGGAAAGATGCCATGGCTCAGTGGAAAGATGTTTATTGTCACACCCAAACGTTTTTTATCTGCTAAAGCTGCCAAGCAGTACTGAATGAATATGAGTGAAGAGCTCAAAGCTCACGACAAAATGTATCCTGATCGAACAATCATTTACATGGCAAATAACAAGTCATTATCATTTCCCACTGCTCTACAGAACTGAATCGCTCTGCCTCTGTTGACAGACGGGCTCGCTGCTATGAGGATGCCTCGATACTGCCGGATATTCATTATGTTATATTGATCTTAGTGACTAGCAAAGTAGTCCGGAACACGCGTTTAGTCTTAGTTGGGACTCGTCAACTGGCTTAGTAAATAACGCTCTGTCGTTTGAAGTGAAAGGTGCTGGGTTCGAGCCACAGTGTAGACAGCATCACTCACTGAGGCGCAGATACATGCAGCTGACTAGTCCCAAACAGGAGGAAACGCGCAACTTGCATTCCTCTACTGGTCACCAAGATCAATATAAAGTCGTTATCAGCTTAATTTTCATCTTTGTTAAGTTCGAAGTGTTAATATGATATGGCTTCATATTAAGTAACTCATCAAACCACTTCTCCCAATTCAGTATGCAACAATTTACAGGTGAGTTGAAGAATCATAGTACTTCAAATTTTACTGAATATTATTACTATTTGAGCCCTCAAGTCATTGATAGTGAATCATTAGGGCTTTTCCTACTGGCTACACATAAACTACAAGAATTGGCTACATTTGTTATTTATTATCACTACTTAATCAAAAACTCTTATGACAGGTTGCACAAACCAAAATGCATTATGCAATTATTGAAAAACACTTACTTGCAAGCATTTGTACAAATAATTATTCGTTGTTGTAGGTTGGCCAGAGGTGTAATGAACACCAATATTGGCATATTCTAATCTATCATTGTCTACTGCAAAATCGTCTGAACTGTTGACAGTATTACTATTACGGCTGTCATCTAACGTATCCCATAATTCAATGGAGAAACTGATGGCTGGATTGATCAAATTCGACTCCGTAATTCTATTCGCAAGTAACTGATTCAAGCGATTATCCACTTTGTCAAATAATTCTTGAAATGTTACCTCAGAAATTTCCTTTGTTGTTGGTACTTTATGATTCGTGAAAAGAGATAACAGATTCTACAACAGATAAGATAAAAAGCAACGAAGCGAATGAACAATTGTAATAATAAATAGTAACAACAATACTGAATTTAAAAACTCAACTACAGGGAAAGAATTGCCATTAATAGTTGCGGTATTACCAAGATAGATGCTGATAAAATTAGTGAAAATTCTGATACCTAAAAGACTTACTAGTTTCTACATCCCAATATCATCAAGAAATAGGTAAATCGATGTATAATGGCCATCTTTCCCGATTTTATTTTCCTAACATTCACCAAAAGGCTTTAAACTGTGTAGAACCTTCAGAAAACTATGTGGCAGAAATAATAGACAGGTTTCTACTGTTACCACTCATTACTGGAATACAAGTAGCCTGATATTCAGGTTTAATTTTTACCTACATGACAACAAACAGAAAAAAAGAGACAGTCTGCTGCATCTCTATGTGTTCTGATGACAACAGTGTATCACAAGAAAATACATAAGACAGCCTTTTCTTATCTAATTCATTCTACCTATACATACTAAAATCACTATCATCTATTGGACAATATGTTCCACAATACCGTTAAAGATATGAATACGAAAGTTGATGCAGTTTAACTGTTGAACGACTGTTTATATTCAGGCAAACGGTTATAATGAGTGAAAAGAAGACGATCTCAGCTATGCTGAGAGAAAGAGAGACGAAAAAGTAATCCTTAGAATAACAATAAAACAGTTCATGAAGTTGGAAATGACTGATGATCATAGTTATTCTTTAGGTGGATATTGATCATATGAGACAATAAATGCTAGAACGGAAACATGATCGGATTTATATGACAATCCTTTCCACACAAATTCAATACTATTTCCAAACCTCGTTCTTTTTCAAGTTGGCATTCATCATGGACTGACATCAGTTGGAGGAACATTAGTAACCTCAGACCAATGGAAAAGTGTTTCGTCCTAGCATGGGACTCCATAACAGTGCTCACCCAGGACCCCTACAGCGATCGAACTAAGGACCTTCAGGTACCTTGGTCACCACGTTACCATTGAGTCACTGGGTCGGAATCCAGTGCTTCATATTCCCTACTAGCAATTGTGTACTGCACATATCAGCCATGAAACATGCTCCAGTAGTAAATAATAGTCGTTCAGAAGCATTTTCAGTACAATTTCTTATCTTGCAAAACACTTAAACACCTTGCTATAACAGAAGTTAAGTATATGTAAAGTCCATATGCATGTAATTATAGTGAAAGCGAAATCATGGTTTTATTCAGAACTTTATATGGTGGTCATTTGGCGGGATAACAATTATCAGGTGTTTTCCACAAAAGGTTTAACGCCTGAAATTCCATTCCAAGTGATAGACTATTGGACAAGTAATCAAAATATTACTAGTTCAATACTGACAGTGATTTACATTACAACACTCATTCAAAGTTGCTTAAATCCCATACCATCAGTTGAATTCATCCCAGGTGTTCTGAAACAAATTACTTTTATGAAGTTAAATTGTTCAGTTAGACTGAATTTACTCGCCTGATCTTCATGGGCTGGTTTACCATGCATTATATAAAAGTTCCACAGTTGAAGATGGAACTTCTGAAAACCGTACCATCAACAGGGTTGTCGTTATAAACCACTTAGATAGGATCACAGACTAGGTGCTTGTCATGAGTGTCACTTGGGAACATTTTCAAAATAGACTACTCCTAGACTGCCTAATTACCAGTACAAGACTCCTTAGAGTACAAACAGCTCTGATTACCATTTTTAATATGTTATTTCCATAACATAATATTCAGCAGGTCAATTAGTTTTAATTGGTCTTAATAATAAGGTAAATAAATCCATCAAAGTAGGTGAATGAAGGTTGCATTGTTTCGCAAATCGATAGAGGTATGAAGATGTGAACTATTTGATTTCGACAGAATGCCTCAGTTACCACGTGTTCATCGCGAAACATGGAGGCCCTGGGTTTGATTCCTGGTGGGGTCATGGGTGGGCACTGCTGAGGTGCCCCATACTAAGACGATTCTTCATTGCTCTAGGGTTCTCAATCGCTCTCCAACTGAAGTCAGTCCGTGGTGAATATCAGATGGAAATAAAATAAACTGAAATTTTGCTCTTCGTAATAGTGAAATTCGTTATTTGAGCGTACAATATTAGGCAGTCTACTACTCGATAGAGAGATAATCATTTGTCCATCAATGACAGGTCACGTGTAGAAAACTATTGTGATAGTAATATACAAACGAGTTCAGCTATAAATAAAAAGTAGATATCCATAGTGTTGAAGCTTTCCTTTGTAAAAGTAGAAAGTGAACACTTTAAAAATGCTTTCTGGATTTAAATAGAGTAATATATTCAGAGGTCATAAGTTTTCCAGTTGCTAAATATTATGACAGATGCGTTGTTTCTAAGCCTCGACAGATGGATTGTCCAGTCACAGAATCATATACGTATACATATAGGACACGCACAAATATATATTCATTTATATACCCTCCCTCCTTCTTAATTTCATTTAAATTTGTAGCTGTAGTGATAACAGCAGTGTTTTTGTTAATGTACTCATTGTATAAAAAAGTGAGTACTGAAAACCCGTATCACTGTGTTAAATTAATCGAAGAGATCTTGATTTGCTTCCAGGTTTGACTATTCATAAAAAGAATACACTAAGGAAGAGGTAAACGAGAAACAGAAAAATCTAAAGATAGAAGAATGGACAAACATACAAAACAATATTCTTAACTAAAATAGTGAATCTTATCAGTCTTTAAATTATATCGTGACAACCATGACCGAAATAGTATCTCGCTAAATAGATATGTAAATGTGAACGTGACTTACAAATCACTGCCACGATTTCTCCGGGTAGAAACTAATCATTCATACAAAGTTTGATAATAAAAAAAACACACAACAATAACAGCAACAACAACAGCCATTAGTGGTACCACTACTAATATCACTACTGCATCTACTACCCTTACTACTTCTGTCGTGACTTGAAAATGCGGGTCAAACTGATGAAATGAAAAATATTTTTTTAGGTTTAATAGACAGGGATAAGCAAGCATAATATTAGAAAGTGAAGAAGAATACCGAATCAATCACCTGTGAATTACTAATTAAGCATATTTATCATTTTACTTAAATACATTTAGGCTATTAGTAACTGATAGATACAACAAGTTAAAAGTATGCCGGATAGTGGCGAAAAGAATAGAAATGCTAAAACAAACACTTGGATATGATGATGATAATCATTTCAGGTCATTAAAATATACATGTACACATTCATGATTACTATCTGAAAAGTAATTAAGAAATATGTGTATATTTAGAAGTAGGTAGTAGTTGCACTAATAAAGAGTATATCACCACAAATTGTTAATATCAAACAGCGTAAATTAATGATCAAGAGTATATAGTATCTGAAAGACACAGTTTTTCTTGAATTCCTCAAATTACTAGCAATCAGGTGTCAAATATTTTTTTCTAAATGACTTTATAAAATATCTGCTTCTAGATGGTTTTCATCACCAATCGAAGTTACCCACAGAGTCATTCAAAACCCTAGTGCACTAGACAGTTGTTCCATCATAGTTTGAGACGTCTCAGTAATGTTTATGCATGGTCAAAACCACCTTGAAACCGATCAGTTCTTTACAAAACAAACACTTGAATGATAATTCTGTGTACATTAGTGATATGAGAATCCATAAAGAGGAAAGAAATGGTGTTACTTGTGAAGTCAATCAAGTCGTGTTTAGTGAAACTGAACGACGGCTACGCTATATCGTGAAGTGGCAGAAACTGAAAAATGTAGTCCAAGTGCTGCATGCGAAGGTGCTTGCCACAAAACCTAAATGTATTAGGTCCCATCCCTCACATAGTCATGGGTACGAACGGTCAAAGACTCCCAAATAAGAATGGAACAGTTGTCCAGTGCTTCCAAATATTCAATGATTCTCTACCTGATTTTAATCAGTGATGGAAACTACCTTGAAATCAATTAATCCTGCACAAACCAACCAGTTTACTAACAATCCGATTTGGGAACACACTGAAATTGACAAAGGGAAATATACGTATGGAATTTTTAAAGAAACACGTTCCTGTTTAGCCATTGGAAGGAGCTAAATCACTTGATGGCTGTATTCTGCATAATATCTAGAGACGTCAAACGACTTAAGTTGTATGATGAATACCCACACTCTTGCTACTTATCTTGTTTACCAACTAAATTTTTAACCCCATTTAAAGTACCTGCAGTCAAGAACCTTCAATGTAAAGCTAATTCTACTGGGATCAGCGAAGTTAATGATTATAAAACTGAGTACAGAAGCCAGCGGCTTCAAAAAGGTGGTCAGCAATTTCAACATAGTATGTCGAGTATAATTTATCAACCTCATCAAAGACCACAGTGAAATCTATAAAATGAATTCCAAAAAACTTGCTGAAGACGACAGTAAAACAGTAAATTCATGAAGGCATTTATGAAAAGGTTGGGAAATATATTAACAGCCCACCAAGTGCGAGACTGAACAAAACAGGAACTGAAGTAATTTCACTTGATGTTAAGTTCCATGTCCCGAGAAAATTTGTGTAGAGAATCGGTACACAGGCTCAATTCGAAAATTTATTCAACCAGTTAACAAACTTACATCCACTCAGTGATGACAATAAAATTTGGTTGAAAGCTAGATTAGTCGATATTGCTAATCAATACCTATCGTCACCAATTCCACAATCCAGAATCTTGTCTAAAGTACACCAGGCTTCAATAAAACACCTGAGAAATAATGAGAACATCGTAATATTACGACCGGATAAAGGTTCAGGTATTTTGGTAATGAACAAGGATGATTATTTTACCAAGATGGAGTACACTGTAAACGACATATTGAGATTCGAAATTGACAATAAGATCAGACATGACAGACTCAATGGGAAAGAGAACTTTTCAAAGGTAATTTGGTCTACAGTTTAGCACACAACGGGCTGAAGTTTCAAGAATCTTGACTCTCTACTATGTATGTCTTTCCTAGAGTATATCAACGAAATGTTTAACTGTCAGTTGTTAGTTCACCCTGTTATAAAGTCGGTTGTTAGTCAGTGGGAAAATTGGAACCTGTTCTTTGACCACTGACTCATTCTAATTTGTCGAAACATTGAAGCAAGTTAATCTCTCCAATGAGTTTGTGGTGTTGTTTGATGTAAACCACTTACCTATTTGGCCAGATCTAAACGGAATGACAAGCCTTACCTTTCAGTACATTGATTTCCTACTTTTACCAACACATGAATCCAAGAGGTCTTTTGCAATATGTCCGAAAGATCCCCACCTCCAGTTAGACAATTACCTTTATATTTAAGCTGATGGATTTGCAACAGGAACCATTATAATGAAACTTCAAGGTAGTGGGAAATTAACTTTTTGAAGTCAGTATTCAAAGAACATATGACACACTTCAAAGATCTATTTGTCGTAAATCAAAGTGGAATATCCACCAGCTTAACTCCAACAATTCCTCTGAAACCAACCATAAACCAGCAATAGTTAAGACTATGTTCTGTAGAATATAACGAATAACGTATATGATCAGTAAATAAGTTTGAAGAGAAAGTATTTCAGCTAAATAAGTGTCATAAAAAAACTGAAAATCCCGAAGGCCTAATCGATGTATAAAGTTGGAGGGAATGCATCGAAATTGAGTAACAAGCCCGTCTTCAGTCATACTGACCACAAACCTGATAACATTGCTATGAGAGTAAACGAAAGGTTAAGCACTGCACTGGCCAGGATATATCTTTCATTAAAGTCACTTCCTCTATTTCTAACTTTTTGCTGACTGATATCACGGAAATCTAATGAGTACCCCTTATATGTTACCTCCGTTAACGACCCACATGTATATACTGTAGTAGCAATATTTTGAGAATAGCAAGAATGGCTTACCTCAGATATTTTGAACATGTCCCGAAGAGCCTACGATCGAAGCGAGCAGGTTTTCCCAATAGTGGAATTACTTAGCACTTAGTGGACACAGGCCGTCAAACAGATGCTTTAGAATCATTCAAAACAATCAACAAAGAGAATAGTGTTGTAATCACTGCAGTCCAACATCTGAAATCAGATTTGTGCTCGAAAAGAATCGATAGTTCATCTAGTAACCCAAATTCTTAACCTTCCACTTGTTTGATTGCATTATTGTCGTGCCATTAAATTTTGAGTTCACAATGAACCCCAATCTTGATCTGCTGAGTTCGACGCATGATGTTCTGTTGCGCTTTGCTTTCTAATTATTACTCCCTACTTCCCACTAATCAGCCTACACAGTCTATTATTCTAAGTTTCATAAAATTCGTTTTCCTACCGCCCAAGTTATACAGATAGTCTTGTTCTAATCAGACATATATTTATGAAATAATCGCATGACATTCTGATTTTATTTTAATATGCACAGTTTCCTTACTTCCTTATGTCGTGTCCTATTTTAACTACCTTCAATGAACCAAAGTATCTTAGTGTCATCTATTGTCGTGAATACCATGTCGGAAGGGAAGTGGATGCCAACTGAAGACCTTGAGTGATAGTCGCACTATATCGTGAATTGACAGAAATCGAAAACTGTGAACCACTGAAAACCAACGGAGTGGCGGAATGGTTAACGCGTTCGCCGTGAAACCTAAAGGTCCTGATTTCTATCTGTAGCCGGGTCGTGGGTGCGTACTGCCGATGAGTCCCATACTAGGACGAAACAGCTGTCCAGTGCTCCCAGATTCTCAATGGTTCCCCAAATGATGTCAATCCTTGATTAATACTACCTCTTAATACAATGTGTTATAAATAGCTAATGAGAACCGCTAAAATAATAAAGTAGGTCCATATTATTCTATTCCAATGCTTATCCTTAGCCTTTTCAAGAGGTTTTTCCTTTTTTTCATTTGGGCAGTAGATAAGAGTTGGTTGGATTGAAAATGGCATTCACAGTCAATATTATCTAAGGAACAATTAAGGCTAGTATCGGGTATCTCTTTCCTCTTATAATTCGATTCTGTATGAACAAAGATTCTTTTGGAAGTGGATACATTGTATCAAGATTGTATCATAAAGATTTGGTTGTTTGAAAAGTTTAGTTCTCTTATTTTCCAGTAATTCTTCAACTGTTAACATCGCTTTCTAGTACGAAAGTAACTTCGAGTCAAGTTTTATGATGCAACATATTCCAAAATAAGGTAACGCTTGTTAGTGATTTGTTTCCAGTGGGTTCATTTCTAAGATCTCCAGTGATAAGCTGGACAATACAGGGTTCATCATACTGTTACATAGGCCTTTGCTAATAAGCAATGAGCTGCATCGCTCCCTTTCTAATATACTCGGTTGTCTTAAGCTTTGCCAATATCCTTTCCATTGATTATCTGCTTCAGATTTTGTCGTTCGAAATCCTTTATCTTTCTGTTTCATGACAAAGCATAAGTTGCAATACACTATAGGGAGATACTGTGACAAAAGTACGTCATATATGGAGCCAAGTTTTAAAAACAGTCATTTCATCCTGGTTCCATCCTCTTGAACAATATGAATCTTACATCTGAATGTTGTAGGCTTCACAAAGACCCAGTTTTTTATACCAGTGATTCTTTAAATTACATCCATCTGTGATGACAATATTTTTCAAATCTCAATAGTTCATTCATGATTTCAAGGACCATCGTAAGCAAATAATGGTCCAAAATGTAGTCAATTTCCATGAATTACATGGCCATATATATAAGATAAATACCAAACAACGAACCAAATGCTGTAGGGTTACACAGAAATGTGAAGTATTTTTAACCGACGACTAAAAGCAACTTACTTGAAATCCTTCTCCTTCAATGGTTTCAAGTGGTTTCATATCTTGAATTAAATATTGTGCAATATGATAGGACAATTCATTACGCGTAACACCACTGCTAAATGTTGAGTGTATACTCATATTTGATGTCGCGGATGTCACTGATGAAGATGCTGGTGCTGACTGACTGGTAAGTATCCTGTCTTCACCACCAACCTCATTCTGTTCATCGTCTTGTTCTTGTATGTTTTGCAAATTCTCCTTTGTTTTCAAACAGGATGTTTTGTCGTTAACAGATGAAACAATATTAGTGTTAATTTGAGAGTGAGTGGTTTCTGTATGATATCTCTTCATTCTCAAATCCTCACCGTCTAACACTGGATTAGATTCTGTAGAACAGCGTTTCTGTGAACCATTGAACAAAAACAAAGTAAAGAAACAATGAAATCAGCTGGTAGCCACATGAAAATTGCTTCAAAATCTGAGTATTTATACACTGATGGTTTCATTTAAGGTATTTCAGACAATCAGGTTTAAAAGAATTGGTCATTTCAGTGAATAGATTGGACAAAAAACCTCTTAATTAAACAGTAGGAAACTGGTAAACATTAAATGTCTTTATTATGAATACATTTTTCACCGTTTTTACAGACCAGCTACCACTATTAAGGTCAGCTAGTCGAATACAGATACTTTTGCGCATCGGATAAGATTACTTCTACCGTAATGATCCACTCTTATCAATATTTTGCAATGTAGTAAGCCATTTGGTTGTATCGCTTAGTTCAGTGAATAAATTATATCTTTCAATCAAAGGATTGAAATCCTACACGAAGGAAAGAAATGTGAAATAAATTTAATCTACTATTAAACTGATTTGTCCAAGTTCACTAAGGTTAATAGACGGTAAGCTCTTTGTGAGCTATCATAGCGCTAACAGAATGACCTCCGAACTTATTTTTTATTTATTATAGGTATTAGGATAAATGTCTCGATAAAAGTGATTTAAAAAATCTAAACAAGTGAACAAATTAGTTTTTGCACCTAACTCCATGTTTCTTATGAGTATAACCTTTGAATCTAATTTTGGTGTTGCAGAAAAAATGTCAGTGGAGCAGTTCAACACAAGCAGCCACAAAACTCACTCCAGTCGATAAAGTTTGAAAGCTTGATAATTAGTTAATTGTACGGACAGTAGAGTAACCTGAACATGTAAAGTTATATAATCACTGGTTTGGTGTTCAGATAGCCCTAATCGGTGAATTATACATGCTTGATTTAACCTTGACCGTATGATTCCCAAGAGGAATTTTCGAAATTACAGATGAATCCTTAAAAAACACCTCTTAGCCGTTCAAAATATCCACGTGGACTATACATGTAGTAAACTATTCAAATACTTCCAACCAGTATAATAAAGCTCATAAACAAGTCAATACACAGTCTTGTTCTTAATCTCCACAGAATGGGAAGAAAATTAGTACAATAATTTGATTTTTTCTTTAGTGAAGCTTGAGAGGATATCCGACTAAAGCCTTAGTAAATAATGATGTATTCTTTAAATATAAATATACGGAAATATACAGCATGATGCACTGTTTCTCTCACTGCAAAGTGTCATCAGTTTACTTATGTGGCCGTCAAGTCCAAAAAATAAACCTGTGTGAATTTATTTATCTGATATGAAGTAAATGAAGTGTGTTGGCGATAATTCATACTGTCTATCGTGAATGTCTCTTGACGAGCCTATATAAATCAGTATTTATTACAGCCAAGTTAGAAAACAAAACAAATAACTAGTTTCACTTTGGCTTGTCCTGAGTACTGACCAAATTCTATCGAACATTTTGCAATGTAGCCAACATGCTGGGAGACTCACCATTTCGGTGCACTTTAATATAAATGGATGAATAAACTGCATTACCTGTGGGAATACTACATTTAGATATGACAGTAAACACATTTTGATAGTATTCTGTTTTCAACCAATATCTAACCTCACCTGCTGATAAACGATCTCAAATTTCTATATGGTTAAATAACACTAACTATTGTACACAGAAAGTACTGCTTACTGTACAAGTAACCAACAATTCAACTAAGAATATTGTCACTAGTTAAGTAGAATATCAAATTATTTTAACATATGAACCGACAGACATAAACAAAAAAGGATCTGCTACAACTACATTTTAACTCAATTTGTCACCCTTCAAATCTGTACATCCAGGTGAAAAATGGGAAGAGGAAAGATTAAAAAAGCCCAAAATTAAATCACTAGTCGTAAGAGAAATGAGAATAGAGAAAAACAATATTTTTGACCAGATGATGAAACTTGAAGAAATCTATACTACTCCCGTCGATATTGTAACAAGTCATCTACAGTTTTCGACCATTCATTCCTGTTGTCCTGAGGACTTCAACCACGAATCCTCCATTATTCCGCACAACTTAGACTGATGGTCAGTGAATCCATAGATTTGAGATATACCATGGTTTGGAACACTACAATTTTCTTTAATCTAACTGAAGTCCAGTTGACAAGGAATATTGAAGTAGACTGTGAATTATTATGCCTAAGCCATTTCCTAATCATTCCAGTCTTGAAGATTCGAAAACTCATCAACTTCTGAACCACTCAGCTTAAAATGGACCACAAAATTTATTCAACACTACAGTCTAAAAATGGCGTTTATTACCAATAATACAACATTCACTTATCTAACATTATGAAGACAGAAAAAGAAAAATGATCATGAAACTCTCCATTAGCATATTAATGAATGTAACAAAAGTTGAATGACTCACCGATTCTTGTTCTGGTGAAATATAAATAGGACGAGCTCGTTTACGCTTGGTTGATACTGTGTGACCAGCTGAAGAGGATAATGTTGGATTTAAATTTCGATATTGAGCAGAAGAGTATTTATGATCAGCTGTATAACTGTTTGATCGCATATCCAATGCGCAACTCATTACATCGTGAACTTTGATACTATGTGATGACTCTAAGCTATTTACACTACTACATGAATAATTACTGTTTATTGTATTGGTATTGATATTACCGTTGACAATTACTGTAGGGTTATTGTTATGATTACTGTTACTTATGTTCGATGTTCTTGATAAATCTAGTGTAATATCATTTATTTCTTTATTTGACCCATTCAATATGAAAGGTAGTGCATTTGAGCCAGAGAAATTATCTTGTCTTATTGACTGACACGTTAAGTTAGGTAGTATGCAAGGTGAGTTTTTACTGTTATTATTGCTACTAGTACAGTCACTGTCGTTACCTTTTTGATTAGCTGGGATTTCTGAAGTCACTTGAAAGTTCCCAACTCCACTAATTGGTAGTGATGATGGTGAAGACAAAACACTGTTCTGTCCATCTTGAATAGCTCTGTGTTGTTGTTCTGTCTCTTGGTTACTTGTTAAATTTATTCCTGTACATGCAGGATTACTATTGAATTGATTTGATGAAGAAACGCTGTCAAATTTACTTATTACTTCTATACTTGATCCATTGTTGAATGACCCGTTATTTGAAATCATTGGCATTGAACTACAAGTTTTTGACCAGTTGGATACGGTTTCTTCGCTGTTTCCTTTATTGTGATTAGTTATTAGGTAGTTCATTGGAAAGCTTAAATTATCATGATTAAATGAGTTTATAGGTAAATTGATGTCAGTAGCATTTTTAATTTTGAAACTTTCTGTAAAATTTGGATCTGTAGATGCAATACTTGAAACATTGGACAACTTATTCAATCCATTTCCTATTGTACTTGAATTTAGATTTAACAGATTAAACATTACACAGGGATCAACCAGATTGTTCGAATAATTCGGAAATTTTCCACTTGCTAAACTTGCCAACCACGCGTTAGCCATCAGCAACTGTTGGTTTTGTTGCTGTTGTGGTGATATTGACTGTGTCATAGATTGTTGTAATTGACTGGCATGAAAATGATTCGACATATTCGTTTCGTTACATCGATTTATTGTCGTTACGTCATTTATACTACTGTTCATCATGCTGTTAGTAGTATTTTCGTTTAGATTATTAACAGGTGGCATTAAACTGACAAAACTCCCGAAAGCCGACATCATCATATCTGATGGACAGTTTAATATTGGTAGTGGGTTCGCACTGTTTGTTGTGATGCCCATTGACTGCATGGTTGAAGGGTTGACAACTTTATTCGATTGTGTTAAATCGAATATATTCTCATTATTTTCATGATTCAAGTTAAAGAATTTTTCCTTGTTTTGAGTTAGACTCTGCATGTTCACTGTAAAGTTTGTAGCATCATGACTACCACTAACACGCTGATCGGTAAGGTTAAATGATTGTCCATTCATGAGGATACTATTTGTTTGCAAAGGATTATCCGCGATATGACTGAATTCTTTGGTTTTTTGAAAAACTCGAGTGTTCGGTAAAAAGTTAGTTTGGGAATTGACATTTGACTGCCCACCACACCCACCTGGTGATGCAATGCTACGATAACCAAGAGAATTATTCGGTGAAGAAGATGAAGATGATGATGACAAGAGAATACTGCTAGCCAAAGTAATATGTGCAGTAGTTGGCGTCTCAAATGGACTATTTACACTACTCAAACCCAAACCAGAACTAGACGAGGGTGATAACTCATGAGCAGTTGTCGTTGCTGTTGCTGCTGTTGCTACTCCTGTCACGCAGTTGATCTGCGGCGTATTCATAGGTAAACTAAATGAAATATTTGGCAGTCCAGTCACACTGTTCAAAAATGTAAATGGTGATTTGGTGGAATTTGATTCATTTGGTAACTGTGTTGTCAGTGTAGATGATGCCAAAAATGGGGGTGATGAAGCTGTTGGTGGTGACGATGTTGGATTGCTGAAACTTCCATTGAGTAGTCGACCATCACCCCTTGATAAACTGGCTGCAGATGCTGATGCTGCTGCTGCAGCTGAAAGTAACATCTCATTTAAGAAGGCTTTCTGTTGATCGGACAATCCTGTTTGATAATTTGCCTGTAAAACCCAAAAAACAGGAGTTGGAATGAAAGACGTAATGGACTGTTTACTTGTTAAAAGTTAATTTTTGAATATCACTAAATAAACCCAACAGATGGTTCATTCAAAGTGACTGTTACAACAGCGGGACATTTAACATCGGTTATGCCATAATCTGAAAACTTCCCGTTTCACTTTCCTCGGAAATAAAGTGATAATTCTCAAACTAGATGTAAAACGTTCTACTCCAGTAGTTTATAAATACTGAAAATCTGGTAGAGTTTAATGCGTAGCAATCTAGTGAATCAGATGGTTAGTTGTAAACAGTCATGCAACTCTGAACCTAGTTCTCATGTTGTACTTCCTTTCCTGAACAAGGTACACCTTTCTTAAAGATGCTTTTAGTACTACAATTAGACGGTATACATTTGTAATATAAAACGGATTAATCTATAAATTTTTCACCGGCCCAGTCCGGTTTTCCTAAGGTTACGGCATCCTAGACAGTCAAAAATTGTATATAAATATCCATTTAGAGATTAAGTAAGGTTCATATAATACACCTTTAAACTTCGAAATTGTGACTGGTAACTAGGTGTTCATGCTTTCAAACTTCACTTCTAAAAGAAAAATATATATACATATTTTATCTGTAGATAGAGGGTGGATTTGCACCTATTTTTCTAAAACGCTGTCACAAAGTATTTCATTTCCGCACAATTTTCCAATTTGAGTAAATGCTACAACTGAAAATAAATGCAATTCAGTGTTGTTTATTTAATGATGGCGTTGCAACCGTATCAGATTGAACATTGAAATGTTATTATCTAAAGACGATAGTCTCTTTTAGTGAGACCTGCTTAGTGAGTTAGATTGTTTCTTTCTGTTTTCACAAGCACCTGAACAACACAGTGTAGTTGAGTATCAGAAAACTGATACATGGCGCTAATTATTCAACTGTGTAATCAGATCATATATGTATGCTAACTGAAAAATGTACGGAACCAATAAAATAGGTCTGTTGAAGCATTGTTGACCGTAGTGGTATGGAGGAAACAGATATTTCAGTCACATATGGTTGGAAGCTTTCATACATCTGCGGGATAATTGATAAATCATTGTCCTATATAAAAACTGACTGCTGTTTGCTTTATTGATAGTTGTCCAGGAGGCGCTAAAACGCTGCAGACTTTTTGAATTCCATTCGGACGGTACCACATATTTTAATTTTTCTACTGGTACTCCCATATGAGATACTGCACCACCGATTTGGTGAAATGATGTAATGGAATTATAGAAGCGACATTATAGTCATTCATGCGAAAGTAGTATACAGTTCTCAGCAAATGAAGTAAATTTAGAATGTGATTAACTGTCAAATAATATCCACCTGATTACAAAGCACTAGATTAACTATCCATTACCTGTATTAATGCTGTGGCCCAGTTTCCATTTCACCTTCAGTCACCAGCCTGGCAGAATATAGCAACCTTATGAGGCGATCTTATCCTATAAAACTACTGTTCATACTAGGAATTTTAGGAAAATACTACCTACTATTTTTAGCAGTATCCACCATCCGCTATTTTATATTCAATTACAATAGTTTACATTTTGCTGTTAGCTGACAACTGTAAGGTGATGGTTTCAAAGAACTGTAGTTTTGAAATGTTTTGGAAGAGTGAGACAGTAAATGCAAAAAAAAGTAAGTTTCCAGGCTGAAACCAGCATGTAAACTATACGTAAAGCATTCATTATCACTGTTACATATTCTCAGTCTTCTTGAAATCGAACTCAAGTTTTATGATAAGTTAACTGTTGTTGAAGCGGAAAGATGACACGAGAAACGATGCAACTGATGAAAAGTATGCAAGATTTCTGTCTCACTTTTATTTTCCAAGAAAATCAACAATATTGATAGTGGTAATATTAACTGGAGTAAGTCACCGACTGCTATGTAATTTACACTTGCAACTTCAATCCTTTTGTATCTGTTTGCTCTTTAAAATAAAGACAGAAGAAACTTCCGGTTGGAACAGATCATTTATTTAGGCGTCTTTATTTAGGTTTGTACTGTCACTCTATCTCTTTCCGAGATAAGCAGCCTTGTTAAGTCGGAAATGTATGTCTGAAGGTGAAATAGTCCTTCGTTTGACCTCATCTTTTGTGTTTCACTATCATAAATATTATTCTCTCTCTTCTAGCCTTTTCAACTGTTCCTCTCCACCTTTCTCTCTGCTTTTTGTATAAATGTTTGTGGGAATTTTGTTTTCGAAAATCACCTGAAGCAACTTTTGGTCTTTATCATGGGTGATAGTATCGCGGACGAAATGAAATTAGTGGAAGAATGAAAATAGTAGTATTTCTTCTGTCCACCGCATGTCTAGAAAATGCATAGCATTATTATCTGAAATACGTTTCCGCCTATTCATATCCTTAATACAAGATTTTCGATAAACACTATTATTATTATTATTATAGTGGTTATCAAGACACTGTTAATATGAATAGTTTTTTACAACGCTCTGTTACAATAAAAGTAAAGAAAACAACTTGTCGATGATCATTCTCGTTGTGAGAAAAAAATTTTCTGCCATTTTAATGTACACGGTTTGTTTTGTGTCAGATAAAGAAAAATATTAGCCATGTGATTCACCTGTATTTCCCAGTTAGGTGGAAATTTATGATATCAAAAGACAATACACTTATCCGTCGTTTAGTTTGATAACATAGTGAATAAAAAATATTGATAATTGAAGATGTGTACAAAAAACTGTAACGTTTAATCACTGATTATTATATTGATAGCAAAATATCTGAGATGATCGTGGTTCACTAGACTAATATTGTTGATACATGGGAACGATTGAAAGTGAAATGAAAGCCTGCATCTGGACAGGATTTGAGCCAGCCACCTATAAATACCGGCCAGGTGCTCTATCAGCTGAACCATTAGCCTCACCTATTGACCATTTCTTCACTTCAATGATAGGAAGCTACTTTATTTCAGTTGAGTTTTACACGTCATAAGCTTTTAACGATTCAGCAACGGAATACAAGTTTTATAGCCTACAAACTTGACGACGAGGTTAAATTCCTTTCATTAGTGACCTATTGAACTGAAAGAGTAGGATATTACTGCGAGTCTTCACTAGTTAAAACGTAAAATATCGGCATTATATTGGGAACCAACTGAAGTGGGAAAATCCTAACCATATGTTTCAAGCATTAGCTCCGCGAAAAAGTGTTCACTTATAATACTCACAGATTTTCAGTTGAGTCATGAAAAGATAACTAGTTGCTTGCAACTAGTGATTGAGGATGGTAAGAGGAAAATTTCACGGCACTCCTGGACTGATCTGCTGAATGTTTGGTTGTGAAATTTTTTATCTAGACTAACACTTAGAAGTCTGGTCATAACAGCTGAAGTTCAGAAAACAACGAAATTGCAAGAAATTCAACAACTTGAGTTGAAAAATATTTTTCAACATCATGAAAAATACATAAGTTAAACTTTACCCACATATTCTCTTGTTTATAGTGACATAAAGGTGACACTAACCAAACACTAACGACAAAGAATGTATTGAATAAACTTTTTTGTTACCAAAACCAATGCTGGAAAGAGTGAGTGTATAATAGTCAGTCTGGTAGATCAGTGAATAGCCGATTATCTTCGCCTTCATTTTTGAAGAAATTAATTGTTGGTACCAACATTCGTTGATGAGAATAATTCAGTAGTAATTTTTGTAGCTTCACTGGGACCTAACGCAAATCTACATCTCAAGGTCGCATGCATGGCCTTCCGATTAGGGCTAAAAAGCTGAAAAGTTTAGGTTTTAGTTACTTAACGCCTGAAGTGGCTGCAATTATTAGCTACAATGATGGTAAGTACTGGTAAACCATTTACAAGAGTATCTTTACTAAAAATGTTATTTTGAATGGGGTAACCACAAACGTTGAAGTGACAGCATTTGAAGGCCAAATGGAAGCGTATTCAAAACGGTCACGAGATTACTAGGAATACATTACGACCGTGTAGATACCAATTAAGGTATTAACTTATTTTAACAACTGCTGTGAACGGACTACATTATCCTTTCACCGCGAGTTTACTAGTGTTTTTTTTGTATATCGTCATGACTGAGAGAGAACATACCAATAGTATCATACCTTTCCTCATTGCACTGCTTCACCGATTGACTTTATGTGGCTGTAATGATATTATTCTTACTTGGAAGCACCAGGTTATTTCCCATACAGTATTAGTGCTTAAGTTAACTTCACCAACTGTAATCTTACTGCCAGATGATTAAAGCAGCTAGCATCTTCACCTTCAGAGAGTTCTTACATCATCTAATTCATTAGTGAATTCTGTCTGAAAGCTTCTTATATATTCACGTGTTAACGTTGAACAAGAGCTAGAACATCCAAGAGGAAAACTATCAAATACGACTTTCTTGGCTGTTACTATTACCATTTAATGGGATAGATTCATGACAAGGGAAGAACACCCTGTGAATAAGCTTTTAGCTGGTAAACAATTGTCTTCAAAGTGTACCTAATATATGCAGAAGATATTGATCTATTCTGATATCTCTTCAGCATTACATTCGAATGAACTACTTCTGTAGTATCTGAGTTGTGCTAAAATCGTCTGTAAAACTGAGTTCAGTGAATGAATGTCTATTCTTCTAAGTAAGTAAAGTGTTTTTAGCACGCGAATCGATAGGAAGTAAACGTTAAATCAGTCTTCCGTCCATAAAGACCATAAATGATTTAACAGTTTTATATACACTTCAGGATATCCTCCAAATCTAATCAATAAAACTGTAACCTTAATTGATCGTTCAAGTGACTCGATCAATGCATGCATACCTAACCTAGAAATGCCAACTAAATTGTTCAACATGTTCAAGAACATGTCAATGGTCTTAGTGAAAAGCATGTTCAAGCACGAAAAACGCAGGATGTAAGTTACTCTACCACTGAAACAGGATAAATAATAATGAGTCATG